TACAACTGCATTCATCAATTTACCCCAGTCCAAGAAAGCGACGCACGAGTAAGCGTTGGTCGTTTCTCTTGTTCTTAAGACCTGCCTTACCCATATTACTTCCCATATTACTCTACAGTAACAATTCAGTACATATTCTACAGCGTTTCTATGAATAAGGGGCACTTGAATTCACTAGAAGCTTAAACTGACGATTTACACTGATGTTTACTTTCACTTCAACCATCCTACGGGACTTGTAAAGCAATCGCTTTTTTACCTGTAATATATCATTGTTCATTGTTCATCTGTCTACCCATGTTGTGCACTAATTCTGTTGTTCGTTATACAAACACACTTTTCCCACATGTACATTAAACCTGTTCGACATCTGTTCGGTTTCACTTTTTGCGCATACCTGGCTGGCATACACCGCCCCAAATTCCAGTCACCCGTGAACTTGATGCCCTGTCGCCTTCTGGGCGTTGAACAGCGGCCACGTCGTTGTATTGGACACGGCTGCACAATAGAAGCGAATGGGTTAATTCCCTATCAGAGAGAAGTCTTCGTCATCTGTCAGTATAGTGGCGAGAATCGTGATTTGTACCCTCTTTGAGTACTTCGTTAAGATACTGTTGTGCCAGCACTGAACAGTTACTGTTGAGGTTTGTCATTACTGAATTTCAATCTTCTTCTGTATAGTACCATAGTTCAGTCACGGTTTCGTTTTCATTTGACCCATTACTCGAGAACCAAGCGAATCTATTGCCTACAATAAGCAACAGGTTTTATCTTTTGCAGATGTTATCTCAGAAAAGGCAACAATATCTAGGAGTAAAAATTACCCTAGACAGAGTGAAGGAGTTTCCTGAAGAATACTACGTAGATAACGCGGATAAAACCACTGTTTTGTTCATCGTGTGAAGTGACTGTGGATTCACCTCGGAAATCAACCGCAGTTGACCACCTTCACAGCCAAAAGCATCTCAGAAGAAAGCTTACAAGGAGGAACAAGCAAACTTGTTCCAATGGCGAACCAGCTCCGAAGAAAGCTCGACAAGCAAGCATTACTAGTTCCATTGCCGTTGCGAATGCTGCCCAGGAACCCCGCGACATAGTGGTATCTCACTATCTACTTGCTATGGTATCTGCGAATATTCCTCTAGAGAAGGCCGACAATCCCAGTTGAGGAAATTTCCTCATAAACAAGTACGAAATGGTGGAGGCATTTCCAGATTGGACGCGCTACATCTGAAAATTCTCCAACTCTACGGAAAATATAATCATATATTGAAAGAGATGTTCCGTGATATTTGTCAGCTTTATAACTGACGAAATAAGTGATCATCGCGGGAAGATGGAAGTACACATCCTGTTATGCGCACCATTGAAGTCCAACAAGGACAGTCTCCGAGCATATCTCATCGAGACGGTCAATATGGCGAGAGTCAGTTCTGCCACAGTTGGGGGAGCCGTTCTGCGCAGCTTAACAACGATGGGTATATTCAGTCGTGTGATGGCCTTCGTGTCCGATGGCTCTAGGTATATGACAGCATGCTACCGAGATGTCATTAAGCCTGTTTGTGAGAATTCAGTACACATCAGATGTGTTGCCCATTGCGACGACTCGATTGGAGAGACCATTCGCAAATTCTCTCCGGAAGTCAACGAATCCGTTGCTTTTCTTCCTTTGGGAAGAAAGACGCGTGTCTACATGGAACATGTAACTTAGGGGGGCTTGGATAATCCATCCGGTCCACCTGCACCGGTCATCACCCGCTTGAATTCCTGGCTGGAAGCTGTCTGTTGCGGGCACGCCAAGTAACCCGCAAAAGTGTGCCACAAAATCCAGTGTGTGGCTACGGGACGCAAAGTTCAATTCCTGCCTACAACGTAGCGGGATCCAGCCACTTCGAGTCGGGCGCGACTAGGCTAAAGTGAACAATGTTCTTTCCTAAACCACCAGCCCTACGTGGTGATTCATTTCACCCACATAATGAAGCAATGTTCCAACTGGGATTCGGCCTTTGTGGGTCGGAAAAGAACTCTCAGAAGCCAGCTTCGTCTTCTCTTGTCCCCTGTTGCGGGTGGTTGGGAACCGCGTGATCACGTGATCGTGTGCGCGGCGCTAGCCAAGTGTGGCGTGTGCGACTCGCTGTCGTTTCTCGAGGACTTAGCGTGTCACCCGAATACGTACGTGAATAAGACCGTGCGCAAGTTACGCGTAACTTTCGTCTAAGCCAACGCGACCAGGTCGGCGCAAATCCATTACACTGTCGCACATCACAGTATTTCCATAATTACCCAGTCATTTTACAAGCTGTACAACCCGAGATTGGAGACTAAGCTGGTGTTTGTGAACTGGTGGATATTCTAACCGAACAAACATCACAGAAAGCTTTAAGATGGCAACAGCGTTGTATTACGACTGTTGGGAAGGACATCATTCGTCACCTGAAAACTGCCGAATCACAGTCTCCGGTAACACATAAGATTTACAACAGCCTCTTCGATCTATCCATGTCGCTAAAAACTCCCGCTACAGGAAACTCGCTGCAACGTTTACAGGCAGAAGGAATCGCCTTTGATGCGTCCAGCAGAAGCCAAACTGGTACGCAACTCTGCTCATCCCAAGGTGCCAGTAAAGCCCAGGAGTTGCTGACATCCCAGGCTAGCTAACCATTCTTGAAAGCAATCTAAGTGTTCGACGCCAACCAGTTCACACCATGCCCAGTGGTCCACGCAACTATGCCGATGTCCCCGGCCCCGTTAGCTCCCCAACTCTGGCAGCCGAGTGGTTAGTCTATCGAAAGGTGGTGAAAGAAGTTCAAGGAGAAAAATGTGAAGACACGCTGACCTTCTGGTGTGGGATGTATGAAAGAACTCCACAACTGGAAGATATCGCCGGTCGTTTTCTATGCATTCCCGTGAATTCGATATAAGCTGTACGGAGCTTTAGTGCCTACAAAATGTTGTGTCTGACAAGCGTCACAACCTTTCAGATAGTACCACGAAACACCTCTTTGGGCCTTACTGTAATTCCTCTGTTTTGATTCACGACTGACATATGTAGAGTGGATGACGGTGCCTTGATTTCCGTTTCTTTTCGTTTTCGCAATGAAATCACGGAATTTACTATTTACAACGCAGAAATTTCGCGGAAATTTCTATTTCGCTCACAGAAAACATGTTTCACCATCACGGAAGATTCGGTCTTTAACCATGATAGAAACCTGTTCCATTGATACTAGGAGCAAACTTCTTAGCTACATGACGTTCGTCATTTATGCTCCCACAACTGTCCCACTGCGTCCAAGCAGATGATGGGATGTATGTTTAAATTTTATAACGGTCTCCCTAAGGCCGGAGGTTACCTCCGGAGTTAGGTACGGCTAATAAGAATTGTACTTGTTATCCATAGACGGTTTGGAACAATGTACCATAACATTGGGGGTACGGAAGCCTGGTGCTCGCCACAGCTCGTTTAGTCCCGAATTATTGCTCAGAACCCCGAAGCAAGGTGGGCTGCGCTCGTTAAGTGATGTCGGGGAATAAGCGGCTAGATCTTGGCCTCCATGTTCTAAGACATGCGAACCGGTCGGTCGGTGTGAAGCAAATGGATCAGACCCCGACATCTGACGGTGTGCATCATGTCTGATTCCTCGAGTACATTCTCCTGTCGAATAAAGTCATGACCAAAAGCAAATAGACATCCCGTTCGTAAAGCGTAGTTCGTTTCCATTTGTGCCATCGTGCTTCTGACAGTGCGACACTTTTGAGCTTGCAGCAAAACAATACTGTGTTCTGGCTCAATACGTGCGGTTGCGTGCAGATGCACGCACATTACTGCTACAGGCTAGAACATTCCAAGTTGTACATCTTAATATGATGGCCAACCGCTGCGTGTGCAGGCACAATACTGTCATAGTTCAGCTGCTTTGCTTGCGGCTTTTGATCAAAATTTCTGCGGTCGCCAAAGTAGAATGAGCGAATGGCGAAGTTAGCGATACCAACAAGGTGCAGGCACGAAAGATTAGTTGGCACAATTTAACTTCTTGTATACTGGTACGACGGCATGTGGGCAAGTATGCTTGCAGTATCAGCTCCTTAACTCTGTTACGTCATTTACAAATGGGAAAGCATATAGTCGACTTATGATACAAAACTGCCGACGGACCATACCTATCCGAAGCTTTTCTCCAAGACCAAAGTGTTTACTCATCAGTGGTGGTGCGACGGATGTGATCACTCGTGAAATGCCTTATTAGCTTGATTATGTGCTGCCTATTTACATGTAGTAGGGCATTTAATTGAAGATGGCTTTCTATCCCACTTTCAACTCTAAAATCCTTGAATTGTTTATGTTCCTCTGGACCCCAAAAACTCACACTGTAAATCCGGCTCATGGTTGCACTCGGTACTAAGACTGAATACAGCTCATCAGCTCCAGACTGATCACCCGACAGATATGCCACTAAGTGGAACCAATAGGTTTTGAAGTCAGGATCCAGTAGCGAATCCGTCTTCGATTGCCACAATGAATGGAAATGGTTGAAATCAACAGCTCTCATGCTTTTCATGTTTCATTTCAGTTTAACCAACTGATTGACGAGTTAGCTAGATCGGCAGTTTAACGAAGCGTAACACAACTGCGTCAAAGTACAGTTGCTCGTGATCAGGTGAACGAGAGACCGTCACCTTGTTTACACCCCACTTACCACATGTGTTTCACCGTTTGTTCAGCTAATCTAGCGACAACTAACTGTAAACCATGTCGTGTGTCACACACGATCAGCTACTGTCCTGACATTTGTCCCGGAGCTAGTCACACAGAGCACTCTCTCTACATGGCCATCGCGCTAGCTTGGTAGTCAGTGCCACTAATGCAATAGTCAAGCGAAACTGCCTAACAGTCCACCTGTGTTTTCCGTGTGTTATGAACCTGATTTGTGAGCCTGCTATAAAAAAATCACTGCTCGAACCGTATCGGTAATCTTGACGTTTTCTGCCATATCACTTAGTCCACAGATCTGATCCGCATTCTGGTGTTGGATGAGAAACTACAGTTATACACTACCACTGGTGGATGGACCAGGTTGAGAGCACCGACCCCGCACGGATTCGCATTTAAGGTAAGCCATCGGCAACAGTGTGCTCGAATTTCCCGGATACAGTAGAAGCTTTCGAAGAGCGAGTGTTTTCAATTGCTTCTGTTTCTCGTTGGTTTGTAGTGGTGCTAACCGAAGCCCGAACATGACGGGTGGTCTGCACCTTTTTGTGATATTGAAACGCTGTTTTGATCTGGTCATACTGTCCACCAATGAGCGAAAAGACGAGGCGTTTGTGCTGTAACCCGATGGTCACTGATTCAGATCTTTGTACTTGATGGCAACCTTGCAGTATCCATAGTTCGCGCACAACTGGTGATGAACGTGCGGCAACGAAGAGTCAGTGGGGCATACCGACGTAGCGCTGGTCCATTACGTTTCCCCCTTCTTATCGCCATTGAGTAAGCGGCTATGACTAGTCCGAGCTTCGGTATAGCAACAGTACTGATCAAACCGGACGCGTGGCATTATGCTACTGTGTTTGTCGATTCATCTAGCAATGAAGAACCGATTGAAGATGATTACCAGCTATTTATTTTTAGTACATTCCTTCTGAAATTGATCGGCAGTGCATTTCTCCTGAGCCGAATGGGAGTGCGCTTCAGCTTACCTGTAAACTATTTCACTTGGTCATCCTCTTGTGCCAATCATCAGAATTGTGGTTCATGCGCCAGTGGCTCATGCCACAAAACAAGCAGTCGATCCAACGCGGATCGCATTCCTTAACGGAGTGTGGTACCGCGGCTTACCGCTCAGTGTGGGGACAAATGACGTCAACAGAAAAGCCCTAGTAAACTACTACACCGTCAGATTTTGCTAATGCATCGACATAATAAGGACACTACCCTCAGGGATGAATTGAAAGCATGCTGTCACAACAAATAACAAAATAACACTGATGTCAACGAAGAGCAATGTCACTGATAGACGGGGCCTTAAAATTTGGCCGTTGCTGTTGTGATCGGAATATCGTCCTACGCTACTCACTGCGGATATTCCTCCACCTGTTTCTGCGTATTATTTTCCATTTATTTAAGTGAATCAGTTTAAGGTCAGAAGTGTTGACTTACTCAGTTGATCAACCGCTGATCAACGCTGTCCTGCCAACAATGCACAAATTCCTCTTGTCCTGTCCAATAATGCCCCGATCGCTTCTCGGGAAAACTGATGACCTCGATAGCCTTTTGCAACGAACAGAATTCTAAAATGTAGGTATGCTGATGTTACAAGCAAGTTGCTTGCATCTGGATACTGAAGATGGAGTTGTAAAACACAATCGCTGTCAACACATTATATTCGACTGCCCAGGAAAGCCTCAGCACCGCAGGGGAAGTGTGATCACCTACATTAGCGAAGATTGGTGTACATCGGTTTCACAGCTGTCCGCTTACTCATCGGCTCCAATAGGTTACCATCTGTTAGAATGTAAACTAAAGTTACTTGGTAGTTTAGTACCTGTTATTGTTGGGAACATATATGTAACGCCTAAAGCAGCAGTGTCATAGTTAAATATGATTGCTGAGCACCTTGTCTCGGAGTTGCAACCAAAGTTAGAATGCTCCAACTGCATCATCGTTACTAACTTGCATAGGAATGACACAACTGTCATTAAAATGCTGGGTCTAGCGAACTGGATGGAATACGCAACCGGACTCGATCCACATTTGGATTTAGTTTTTACTAATAAACATAACCTGTTTTCCACACAAACACGCGCCCCGTTCGAGTATTAGGACCACTGCATCGTGATGGTATGCCCAAAGACTTACCGTAAAGCAAACTAGGTTGCGATGCCAAGAAGGCGATTCAGAACTGTTAAGCGGTGAAACTCTTCAACGGAAAATGTTGCAAAGCTCAATTGAGGCCTTATTCAACCGACTTCTCAGTTGTCGTCAATGAGGATCAGTAGGCTCAGTGCAAGCACTTCACAGACTACTACATCAATCTGTTTCAACATTGATTGCCTCGTTCATTGATAGATTTTCATCTTTGGTATCTAAGCAACTGCGTAGAAAAAAGAGCAAACAAACAAATTCAAGTTAATGGCCTGTGTCAAATGTCTGTCTGTAACAATAAAAGCCGAGATAAAAAGGTTAAACAGCCTATATAGTAAGGCAGTTTTAGGAAACAACGGCTGCCGTAACCTGTGGAGGCTCTTGAAGCAAGTTATTGGCGAAAATTCCAGTAGCCCACTCGGTGCTGTGGATATGAACAAGCTGAATGCAGAGTTAAACACCTCACTATCAAACACATTCCTTCTGCGTTTCTCATCAATGACCCTCCCACTTCATTTGATCCGAGCAGTGATTACAGGAAACTCACAAGACTGAAACCAAACAAGGCTAGTGTCCCTGATTCCCTGTCCCCAATCGCTCTGAGTGTATGGATGCATTACAGTCACATCCGGCAGAGATTTTCAACCGGTGTTTTACGACTGACAGTCTCCCCGACATCTAGAAAGCAGCCAGAATAACACATGTACTTAAGAAGGAATCACAGAAATATCGGCCAATAGCGTGCACCTCCGTGCTGCTGAAGGTGCTTGAAAAACTAATACTATTCCGAATCTTAACAAGCAATCATATGATTGATATTAACAGTTTACTTACAAGTCAGGGCACTTTACTCTGGATGATGTTTCAAATCTTATGCATTCCATTTCATCTGCTTTGGATTAAGTGCAAGACTGTGCGGCTGCTGTTCCTTGGGTATACTATCGCCTCTGGGAGCGTTAACAGATTTTTACTATTTAACCTTTTGTTCAAAACGGCGTTCCACCTTATGCAAATAATGTAATGCGGGACTACTTAACGAATCGCACACTCCCCACGCAGTTATGCGGTAGATCTTCCGCAATCCAAGCCAATTGTGTGGTCCTACGATAAGCTACCCTATCCCCCTTTCCGCTTTCCATCTATGTTGAGTGTCGGCCCATACCAACCATTTCCATCTGGTGTAAATTCGCTGAGGACTCTTCGAAACTCCAAAGAGAATTAGACGAGGACTTGATTTGGTTAAGATCCCGCTCCATCTCCCTTAACCTCTCAAAGTGTGACATCACATCCTCTTTTCTCCGCACTGACAGACTGTGTTCTTCTTTAAATGCATCTCCTCCTTTAGTAGTGAGTGATCCAAGCATCCCTTGTTCATTTTCTGTATCTCAGTGTCTTTTGCCCTACAATTTATCCAAATCGACACATATACTTCAAACTATTCAAAACGCCAGAAGAATATCCTTTCACGCCTTTAGACTTTCCGTTCCGCGTCCCCTAATCCTAAGGTTTGTGAATGCATGTATTCTCCCCCCAGTGGCTGTACTGTTTCCCTCTTCTTTTCCCCGGACTTCTTCAAAAGCATTATAAGTTTCTTGTGCAATCACTAGAATGTACTCCCCAATGCTCTGGATTAAGTAAATAATACTTGTTTGATTTTATCTTCAGCAAGCATTTTGGCGCATAGTTTAACTTCTCATCCAAGATTCTAAACGACCCCTCTCACTCTCTATACACTGTTTTAGCAAGCTTGGCATCCATTTCTTCCACGGAGTCGAAATTTGACATTTTAATCCTCCTTACCACTTTGCATCGAAACTCCATCTGATCTTATCTGGCTCGCCTGTCAGTTGACCCAGAAGTGGTGATGCACCAATTGTTGTGGACCTTTGCTTGCTTGAAAACGAACTCTTTTTGTTTTCTTGGCACATCGCATCATTTCCCCGCCGATTCGATGTTGTAGTATATCTGCTGTGCTTGTGTAAATCGGTGAAAATTCTCCAATACGGGTGTATAAAACTTATTTTGACCTTACTTACCTCAAAGTGATTAGGTATGATGTAAATTCACTGTGGCTGAGTGATAGACCAATGAACCTTCGCGGTTTGTCTGCACTCGTTATGATATTTTTCTGGCTCTCAAATAACTTGCATATTCACATCAGCTTGCCTAGGAGCGTAGTATTGCACCCAGCACTTTATATGGATTTCTGCTAAGACGCGTTTGCAGGGGTTTCGTAAATTGGGGCACTCGTAATGTAACGGCCGTAGTCAGGATCGGATTTACCATCGCAGAAACACAGCTGTTCGATCCGTTTCACTTTGTTTTCTCTGTGTTTTTTAAAGTATTCTTGATCAATTGGTATCCAGGTTGACATCCCGCCTACCGTTCTCAGCCCTATTCCGCTCAGGACCCGACCTCCATGAATGTGTTCTGCTTTTGCGCCACAGATGACGGAGCCATGCGGCAATGGGTCTGCCGACTGCGGATCGCAAAAGTGAGTGGGGTAGCATTTTCCCGTTCTAATTTATACACATTACTCGGGAGTCGACAATTCATCAATAACGTCATGTTCATCAGTAGGCACTTATCACACACGATTGCACTAAGTGTAATTCCTAACTGCAGTTGATTATCACAAACATGGAATCCTGCTGCAGCAGCTCTTGAAGCCTACCCGCAGCTGAGTGTGACTTTCCCACTTAAGATTGAAAAACGTGCTACATTTGTTTACGTTAAGTGATAGAACGTGATAATTAAAGTAGTTCTACCGCTTTGCTACCTTGTGTTAGCACTTGTATCCAGTTCCGTCTTCGCAACCTTTTCCAATGTCGATCAAGTGCACCCTAAACATTCTCTTTGGGAAACCTCACTTCCTCTTCTCATTGCGATACATCCAATTTGGCAAGATAAATCTGGCGACAAAACAGACACTTTTCTGGTAGCTACTTAAACCGATTATCATGCATCATCGGTTTTTCCCTCCGGAGCTGTTGAGGTACCTCCTCTCCAACCATTTTTCAGAATGTAAGTTTAACAGTCTTTCTAATGAATGTACATTTTGGTAATACCTAAAGTGACACTTCTTGACCCCTATTTTTCTTAACCCAAATCAGCATGGCAGGCAACTTTACACAAACTACCAGAATTCACTGCAACGAGTCCGGCGCCTGATGGCATTGCGGTACACATCGGGCAATGGTCCGAACCATCTAAATGGGTCATTGAGTGCATGCCTACAGCGTAAGTCTTCGTTCGATATAATTTCTTCTTCAACACCGTCGACGCTTTCCGCTCCTGAGCGCTCGGAAAGTCTGAGCATCCGGACAGGTTCACCTGCTTTAGAAAGACGAAGCCAACTGAAGCAGACAAATTACCAGAATCACCTATGCAAACTTTCCTCCAAGATGGACCTCTCAGTTTCTACGCATCCTTGTCGATGCTTTGGTGAATCAGTTGGACCGGTCTCACCACTACTTCCCCGGATTCAACGTATATGTACACATGCTTCTTTGGATGACAGCACCCAACCAATTTACAGATAACCGGCCAACATTCCCAGAATGATTCACATCAAGTGATGCGATCCCCTTTTTCATATGCAAAAACGAATGCCATCTTACAACAAATCTTTGGTTCCAACTTTCTCATCACAGTCGATATGTTCGAGGCTGACCTGAGATTTTTTACAACAATGGATAGGTCCACATTCGACTATCGACTACATGGTGGGGCGAATAGAAGTCAGAAACGGTAGTTGCTATAGAACATGATCACTGAGTCACTTTTTTATGTTTGCTTCCATTCTCATCTTGTTCAACGGATTTTTTTGCCTCAGATTTTAAATGTGATTTGTGCTCGGTCGTACTGCATGATCGAGCACCAGGTGCTTCGGTTCTACCGCTGAACTCTTTTCGGTGGAACGTGGCATGAATACGTTGATTTCCACATGCCCTCTTTAAACTGAAACGTGAGCTCTTTATTCCAGAGATTTTTGTCTCCGAACAAAGCCTTGCGGCGTTTTCAGAGCGTGTTGCATCCACAGGCGTTTTACTCGGTGTGCCCAAACGCCATTCTGCCTCACGACGCTCCGAATTTGGTACAAAACATTATGCACAAAATTCTCCAGTCAACGCGTGTATCACTAGTCGCACACTTTCAACCTGTATAATTATTTCCCATTTTTGTAATCACGTCCTATTCAGTTTTTTATCACACTGATTTCTATGTGCCAAGAAAATACTGTACGCAGCTTGATTTCTGCATTGTGGGGAAGTTTTCCACGCAGTATGATACTACCAGTGCATATAATTGTTTTTTCGACTGATGGACCTGCTTACTCGTTAGCCTTACGTATTCATTCACTGCGGACGGTAACTGTAGTCCAACCGCGCCACAGTGTGGTTTCGGGAATATTCAGGTCGGCTGTGAGACCCAGGGGAGAGACAATACCGAAGCTTCTAGGAGCGTGCCTTATACAGTCGATAATAAAGTTTGTTTATTAATATACATGTATTTATTTATTACCTTAGGTGCTTGAATTTTCACCGATGAACATATCCGTTAGTGGTGCTGCTTTGGTCTCACCGACGTAACAGGATAGTGGTGTGGTGCGGTATATTCAATTAACGCTTTTCAAGAATCAGTTACTTCAAGCATATAATCGAACAACTCGGCTTGCATACTGAAGATGCTGCGAAGCTTATGAGCTAAACAGACTCGTTCCACATAGTAAGCTCAGTAGTTAGCGAAAACGTAGGTTTCACTATGGCTTCAGTTTTAGCACATTATTATGCTTGGCAGCTTGCGATGCCTTATGACAGACCTCCACTAACCAAATTTCTCATCTTCACTCCTGAGGCATAGGCCAGAGATGTCTAACGGGTTAAAATTAAGTACCGTAGGATGGTCGGAGTGAATACAATGAAATCAAAATTTTTGTGAGTCATCTACCGAACGTCTACCGCGATGAGTGCGCTGATACATAACGCTAGTGCAATATAAAAATCGTGTGTAAACACAAAGAAATACACGGGGTGCAGTAATTCTTGACGTGATGTGCAAAAAGTGAAAAAAATAGTTACTCACTTATGTGCCACCTCCTACGATCCATACGACCTCTAAATCCGGTAGAAGGGCAGGAGTCACGTAATCCAAAATGGCGAAGTTTAGGTTAGGAAGTGCTGGGAGCTAAGAACAACATCCAATCGTTTTTTTTGAAAATGTCCAAGGTAGCGGCTGATACAACTGATTTTTGGAGAGCGTTCCAGAGTTGGTAAACTCGACACTCAAGACGGCTATATTGTTCCTTCAATTTCAAGCGGTTACCCCTGAGCTGCGCATTGTGGCTAGGTTTCAGCAAATGGCGGCATAAGTGGTAGCGGTCGCTCATTATTTGATACGCTAATACTTGATCGCCTCGCAGCCTTCGGTAGCGTCCGCTGAAAACCCAGCGAATTCAGCCTTCTGTGGTAAGAATGACTATGCAGACCATGTACATTCCTTGTTGTTCTTCACCGTAGTGCCTTTAATGCCTCTAGATCGCGCTTCAACCAAGGTTGCCAAGCTTGGACAGTGATTCAACTTGCGGGCGCACGTAGGAATTGTGCACCATTGGGAAGATTGATGGATCGAATCTCCCGAATGCCCTTCGCAGCAGGCCGACGTGCTGGTTGCTTCTTTTCGCAGCTATCTCAGTCTGTTTTGAACAGTTGATGTCACTCTGTACGAGCACACCAAGGTCACGTTCCTGGGAGCTGGTCTGCAATCCGTTTGTCCCAAGCAAATAGGTTTTGTCATGTCTATGGCGTACTTGCACAACGCGACTTTTTTGCTCCAATCCCAACCTGCTATACAGACACGTAAACACTTTGCACCGTGTTAAGTGCGGTATTCCTACACTGCACACAGCATGCGAGTTAGCCCAAACCACACAAGAGGCGGCCAACGTTCTTAAACAACAGTTTGGCCGTACCTTCCAAAGCGTGCAATCATCATATATCCTGCCTAAGCAGATAACGCCGCCATCAGGGCTTAATCACAAATCGCTTACCTCCGCAGCTCTACTGCAGAGGTTGATGTCTCTGCGCGAATTCAGCTCCCCGGGTGCGGACGGCATTCACCCGAAAGTTGCTGCCATGAGTTTGGCAAGACTATTAGCAATGTGCTTTCAACGATGTCTGAACGAGACGTACGTCCCCATGATGTGGAAGCACGGAATCGTCACGCCAATCTACGAAAGTGGCAGTCGTGCTGAATCAGCAAATTATCGCCCGATAACACTACTTCCTGTGATCTCCAAGGTTATGGAGTCCATTGTAGCTGAGGCTTTGATGGGGTACCTGGAGAACAAAAAGTTCTCGTTCCGGAACAGCATGGATTTCGCCAAAATCGCTCATGTACCACTAATCTCTTGATTACTCGTGCAAGCTGGACGCAATCTGTGGACGCTGGTGAAGGAGTCGACGCGGCTTAATTGGATTTCTCAAAGACATTCGACCGTCTAGACCATCGCATTCTCCTCCACAAACTCCAGAAATATGGAATCGGCGATCCTGTTCTGGGCTGGATATGAGACTTTCTCGTGCAACGTCACCTGAATGTGAGGGTTCGAAGCAACCTATCGGAATCCATCGAAGTTCAGTGCGGCGTACATCAGGGCTCAATACTTAGACTCCGCCTGTTCCTGGTTTTCATAAATGATCTCGCGAGCTTGCTATCTTCTAAGTGTTTGCTATTTGCTGATGACCTAAAGGTATGGCGTACTATAGCTCCAGTGGAGGATTACACAGTGTTACAGGAGGACCTGAACAAAGCGTACACATGGTCCATCGAGAATCTGCTGTATTTCAACGTCACCAAATGCAAAGTTCTTAGCATACGGCATAAGAGTATGCACAAGTACCGCCTAGGACCACAAATTCTACAGCGGGCTTCTCATGAGTGCGATCTCAGTGTGATAGTTCAAGATGACCTCGGTTGTTCGAGACAGACCGAAAAGGCAGCTAAGAAAGCGAAGCAGTACCTCGGCCTTCTTCGCAGAGCCTTCGGGAAGTCTGACCCTTCGATCTTTCCAAAAATGCTTAGTGCGTACGTGAGGCCGCACTCGGAATACGCTATCCAAGCGTGGCAACCCTGGCTCCAGCACCATCTCACCGCGCTCGATACTGCACAAGGTTGGGCAACGAAGAGCGTCAAAGGTTTGACCGGCCTCTCCTACCCACTCAGGCTGAAGACTCTGTAAATATACAGTGGCCGTTATCGGCATCTAAGGTGCGATCTCATAATGGTGTACCTAATCCTGAGAGACCCTAACCACCCATGCCATTCTCTCCTAATACTCAGTCAAAACACCTCGCTAAGAGGTCACCAGTTTAAGTTAGTCACGCAGCACATCCGCCTGGAATGTCGGCGAAACTATTTCCCCCTTCGAGTGTCACAGCCTTGGAACGCCCTCCCGGAACATGTAATTAATGCACCCACCCTATCCCTTTTCAAAAAACGCCTTGACGATACTCTGTCACATTTACACTACGTGATTTAACCCATGACCACCAGATGCTGGCACTAATGCACAACAGACAGTGGATAGTGCGATAACCCTACTCGAGAATTAGTCACTCCAAACTCCTTGCACACAATTTCATAAACGCTACTACTGTAGAAACTGGATTTCCCATCGACCCAAGATAGTTGCACACGATTAAGCGTTGTCCTTGCTATTTTTAAGTATTTTTCTCGCCTATTACGTGATTAATGTCCACTCACCTTATGGCTTGTTTGCGCACATCCTAATTTCAAACCCTTTATACGGCAGTGCAGTTAAATCTGTAATTGCCCGAACCGACCATTCCGCTACCCTTGATCTATCTTTTCTCACTCTAAACACCCTACGGGACATGTCAAGCACCTGCTTTTTACCTGTTATAACTCATTGTTCATTGTTCATTGACGTTCCTGTAGAAAATTGCTTATCCAACTTAGAATTGGGTTACAAGTGCCGCTGTTCTGAAGCTTGTGAAGGAAAATTCTGTGATCCAAACAATCAAACGCTTTTGAGAAGTCCAGATAGATGACATGATCTCCTGCTCCATCATCAACGGCTACAATTCAATTATTCTGTGCAATTAGTAGGTCGATAGTGCATGAACGCTTTTGACGAAAGCGAAGTTGCTCTGGGACTATTAAGTTTTGGCTTCCCAAATACTGCATCAGCGCATCAGTGATGATTGATTCCATAACTTGGGATAATGGAGAAATTAGCGTTATTTGACGGTAAGTGGCATGCTCAGTGCGGTTACCTCCCTTATGAATAGGAGTGATGGCCCCCTCTTTTCGATACTGGTGGAACATGGATCTCCTCTAGACATCACTGGTAGTAAACGGTCAGTGGTTCTGCTAGATCACTAGCTACTGCCTGCAGAGCATTCGGTCGAATATTGTCATTTCCAGGAGAACGGTGGATACGCAAGGATAACAACTTCTTCAACACAGCTTCCACAGTGAAGATAATGTTATCTAAACCCGACGGTGGAGTAATAGAAGT